TGTTACATAAAGAGTCCAAATCTGCAACCATTCATTCCATCCTACATATCATTATAAATGAAGAGACATCAGAACAAGGAAAGAGTAAATATCATTATAAATGAAGAGACATCAGAACAGAGCATTACCGTGAAGAAATCAAACGAACACCGAAAGCATATCCAAATCCAACAAGCTTTTGTAAACTTGGCCATCACATAACATTTCTCATTTCAACAGTTAACATAAATAAGCATGATAAATAAAAAAGTGAAGTTGTGGAGCATCAGAATCAAAACAGATTAAGTTAAAAGAAAACGGCACTATAGATAGAAGAAATGTGAAAGATCTTCCTTTCTTTCATTCATCCTCCAAGTTGATGATTCTGCAAAGCAAACACACCAAATTACTTAGATGGTTATAATCTGGAATCTGTATCTTGAATTTGACTTTGCAGCAGAAGCTGCAGCCAAAGGTATGTATACATTTTTCTCCAAAACCCAAAAAAATGACATACCTCAGTCTTTTGCAGATCCTTCAACATTGCCACTGCCTTTCGTAGTTCCTTCTTACTGCATAAACCGGACAGCATGCAGTGGAAAGTAATGGTATCGGGAGCCACACCATTAGAAATCATCTCCTCGAAAACCTCTAGGGCGCCATCAAGATCACCCACTTGACAAACCCCATGAATTAAAATGTTGAAAGTAACTGTATCAGCCACAATTCCTCTTCGATGCATCTCGCGAAAAAGCTCCGTTCCTTCATCAACCCTTCTAGCCTTACAGTACCCGTCAATGAGTGTATTAAGTGTCACTACGTCTGGAGAACAGCCCTTGGTAGCCATCGAATCAAACATCTGTTTGGCCTCATCTAGGCGGTTTTGCTTGCAGAACCCATCGATCATTGAGTTATAGGTGATAGTAGTAGGAACTATACCTCTTCGGAGAATCTCCTCATATAACTTTTTGGCCTTAAAGAACTTCCCTTCTTTGACCAATGCATTGATCAGTGCAATGAAAGTTACAACATCAGGGTCGATATTCCTTTGGATCATTTCACGCAGCAATCGCTCGGCATCGCTCCATTTACCACAGCTACAAAAACCATCTATCATACAGTTGTAGGTAATTACGGTGGGGATAAGTCCCTTTCTCTTGCATTTCATCGAAAAGATTTTGAGCATGGCTATGACGTCCATCTTTGCAAAGACGATCAATGATTGCATTATAGATTACAACATCAGCTTTGATGTGACTTTTCTCCATCTTCCTTAGCAGATTCAAGGCCAACACAGTATCGCCCATCTTACACATTCCAATTACAATTGTTCCGTAAGTAACAACGTCAGGTTGATAACCTGTTTCCACCAACCGATCAAGCAGAGCTCAGAGCAAAGGGAAGCTTAGAGCAAGTGCAGAAACATTTTATGAGAATAGAGAAGCTGTAGAGATCACATGGAATCCTGCGCATTTCCATCTTATGATAGAGAGAGATCACAAGATCTGGGCGTTTCATTTTCAAGACCACACCAATTAGCTTAGAGAAATCAATCGCGGAAGGTAAGGGACGAGATCGAACCATATCATCGAACAAAGCAACCGCATCATCTAAGCTTTTGATATAATGAAACCCATTTCTCAATTTCAAACGCTCTCCTTCAAAATCCCTTCGGCTACCACTGCAATGGACTGAAGGAGAAGACTTTCGGATTGTACCTTTTTTCTGGGCGACGCGATGATGAATCAATCTTGTGCTAATCAATCTAGCAGAAGCAGATTCCGATCTCCAAACCCTAGCCAGCATTTTGTTCCTTGTTGAAAATGGTGTGTCAACTGTGAAGGTGAGAGCGACGCAAAAGAATCAGATAACAAGGACCGGTTCATAGGGAAGAATCCAATAACCGGTTGCAATAAGAGGGTTGTCGGTTCACTTGGTTTGGTTCAGACCGAAAACGACGTCATTAATTTTGTCTCTTTTCCAATACTGTACGTTCTAACCTAATGGACCGTTCAATTTGATTTTTTCCTCGTCTTAACCAAAACACCTAAGCCGGACCCAAACGAACATGTCAAGCTAATGTAATTTGTCATTCCCAGTTCACAGCTGAATGAATTGAAATTCATCAAACGTAAGTGTGTACTCATTTGAAAATGAAATTCAAACTTATTTCTTGACATCAAGCTAATGTTTTTGGTTATATGATGGACCAAGACACGTACAATTCCCACATGATCAAACAACATTAAACTCAAGCAAAATATAATAAGACAATGGTTCTTGTTACATGAGCAAAGCTTCAAACTTTGACCACAAAAACGTGTAACCATTTACAAAAACATATACTCAGTGTTACGACTTACGAGTTTGTGGAACATTTTTCATTCATCCTCCAATTGTTGATCCTGCTAAGCAAACAAAACAAACCAATCAGAGAGTTAATCGAAAATATGTATCCTAAAATTGACTTGGACAAAACTGAGTATAGGACATACCACACTCTTTTGCAGATCCTTCAACATTGCCACTGCCTTTCGTAATTCCTTCTTACTGCACAAACCAGCAAGCATAGTGCGGAAAGTAATGGCATCAGGATGGACACCACTAGAAATCATCTCCTGGAAAAGGTTTTCAGCGGCATTAAGATCACCCACTAGACAGAAACCCTGAATAAGAGTATTGTAAGAAACTGTATCAGCAACCAATCCTCTTCGAGACATCTCATGGAGAAGTTGCATCCCATCATTAACCCTCTTAGCCTTATAGTAGCCATCAATGAGAGCATTAAAAGTAACTACATCTGGAGAGCAGCCCTTGCTAGCCATGGAATCAAACATGCGTTTTGCATCATCTAGACGATCATGCTTGCAAAATCCATTAATCATTGAGGTATAGGTGAACGTATTAGGAAATATACCCCTACGGAGCATCTGTTTGTAGATTCTTCAGCATCAAAGAACATCCCTTCTTTGACAAATGCATTGAAAGTTACAACATCAGGATTGATTTTGCTTTTAATCATATCACGCAGCAATCGCACGGCATCACTCCATCTACGAGAGCTGCAATAACCATCAATCATACACTTGTAGCTAAGAACATTTGGCAAAATTCCTTTCTCGTGCATTTCACTGAAAAGATTTTGAGCATGGGTATGATGTCCATCTTTGCAAAGACGATCAATGATGGCATTATACATCACTACAGTGGCTTTGATGTTGCTTTTCTCAATCTTCCTAAGCAGATTCAAGGCCGAGAGAGTGTCGCCCATCTTACACATGCCATTAACAATAGTTCCATAAGTAACTTGGTTAGGTTCATGACCATTTTCCACCATCTTATCGACCAAAGCTAGTGCCTCGAGAACTCGACCTTCTAGACAGAGACCGTTTATCAGTGTGTTGAATGTTATGATATCCGGTGCACATTCCATTTCAACCATCCGAACAAACAGAGCTGCTGCTTTGAGAACTCGACCCTCGCGGCAAAGACCATTCATCAGTGTGGAAAATGTTATGACATTTGGTGTGCATCCTGTTTCAACCATATGATCAAATAAAGCAACGGCTTCAGAAATCCTATCTTCGAGACATAAGCCGTGGAGCAGCGTGCTAAAGCTTTGTGAGCTTCCCAAATGTAGACAGAGCAAAGGGAAACATAGAGCAACTGCAGAAACATTTTATCAGAATATAGAAACTGTAGATATTACATGGAATCCGCCGCTTTTCCATCTTCTGATAGAGACGGTTCATTCTCACCACCACACCCATTAATTTGTTGAAATCAACCGCCGAAGGGAAGGGGCAAGATCTCACCACCATATCATCGAACAAAGCAATCGCATCATCTAAGCTTTTGATATAATGAAACCCACTTCTCAATTTCAGTTCTTCTCCTTCAAAACCCCTTTCGCTACCACTGCAATGGACTGACGGAGAAGGTACACGCTTTCTAATTGTACCTTTTTTCTGGGCGACGCGGTGATGAATGAATCTGGTGCTCATCAATCTAGCAGAAGAAGAAGCAGATTCCGATCCCCAAACCCTACCCAACTAGATGATTCTGGACAAATTCTACATTTTTTTCTTTCTTTTGTAACATTTCTAGATAATGTTTCTACTTTCCGTTTTGTTTAATTTAAAATGACTAGAATATGGTCCGCTGAAGTTTTTGTTATACAATTTTACTAAATTTAATATAAAACAACCAATTTTTTTTTTATACAAAATAATATTTCATTTAAAATCAAATCAAATAATTTTCTGATTTAGTATTAAAATTTCTTAAAAAAATAAAATAATAATTATTAATCATTTCGATATCGAACATTGCCATTTAAAATATCTTTGTTTAAAAATTTGTTACATACATATATATGATCATTAAATAAATTATAATATCTAAATAATCAATTATTTTCTAATCTGGTTATTTTTTTAGGAGATATTTAATCATAAACCAAAATTACCTTCTTCTACATCTTTCTCTAAACCGGCTTAAAATATATGTATGGTTCAGGTTATTAATCAATTTGATTTAACTGTCGATTCAACCAACTTAGAATATCAGTTTGGTTTAATTACCAATTGAGTTATCTTATTTTCGTGAGACGTTATATGTAATGCTTCCCCGATTTGGGGATAATTAATCATAAACGAA